TATATATTCCTAACCGTTACAGGGAAGCTAATTTTGTAATGTTGTTTATAAACTTTTGCGATGTACTAAATTACCTTTAAGGTGGCTCGCTATAGTTTTACGATTGCGCGAGCGCATAGGACGAAAGCTCAAGTAATCTCCTCGCGCTCAAAGGAAAACGTCAGCGTTATTCGATTTTTATGACATCAACATGATCACAAAAAGCAAAACTTACGGTCAATTTTAAATTTGGCTCAGTTTTAACTACCTACAATTCCAATAAAATACCCTACTTTTGTTAAAATCTGTCAGAGCTAATCTAATATATTTAGAAGAATGACAAATTGGCTTTTTACCAATTCAAAATGTTAGGCAAATATCATTTCGCTGATGTGGCAAAGTATGAACAAATTTCACCGAAGTAATTAAGTCTAAATATCAAGGAGTTTGGGCCAAAATGAGGAATATATCTACCTGTTATTAGATGAGATGTTGCCATGATAACGGTCTACATCCAAAAATTGATAACTAAAATATAAGCCTTATTTCAACAGTACCCGTACTGGTAAATCTCTGCAGGGAAAACTTCAATCAGTTTCCTTTTATAACTCGGCTCTATAGGGAAGGTGTTCGTAAAATTAATACACTAGGTAGCCACCTTAAATTGAAGGACACCTCACAATAACACTTTGTTGAAAAATACCAGAAGGTAATGATAACCCAAAACTAAACGACCATGTTTAAGGATGGCAAAGGTTAACACGGATTACAAACTCAGAACTTAAAAAAATTAAGCTTAACTTTTAAAGATTCGAGATCCATGACGAAGCTCCTTTAATATTGACACTAATGGAGTAGTATACAGATCGTTAAATATAATGTGGAGAGATCAGAAGTTAAGTGGTGCAGGGTTTCTCTACTGTAGCACTCATGATTCTGTCAACTTTACATATAATTTTCACCATGTGAACTGGGACATTTAAATTCAACACAGATATATTTATAAAAGCCTTTACTTTAAATATATAAATAGACAAACAAATAAGCATAACAAGGCTTGCAACACTAGATACGTTTTCCAATAATGCAGAGAAATAAAGTGTCTATACAATAATTATAATAAAGGAAAGAAATTCAACAGAATCAAATCTCCAAAACGAGCACGATACGAGCACGTGCTCGTTGGCATGTGAGCATAGAGAAAAGAGCACAAAATATGTTTTAGACCTCGGGAAAAGAAATCATATAAAAAAGCATATACGAAACCTTCATAGAAGTGGAGTAATTAAAGCGAGCCATTTTGTATATTAAAGGAGCAATAACGGTTCTACAAAAACCTGTACAAAAGCAATACTATTAATTGATCTAGATATTGCAATTAGAATATCTTCTTTCCTAAACGATTTAAATATATAGCTACTTCTGAAGACTAGAAATTCTTTTTCAGCAGAATGTTTTCGTCCCCTTGACAGCTTCGACAAAAATAAAACTCCTCGTAATGATGACATTCCAATTGAATTCTATAAAACATTCTGGTCAGTAATAGCCCAATTTCGATATATTAAAATTCAGCCTAAAACAATAGACCTCAGCACGAGGCTCCGGGGAATAAACCCCACAAACTCTGTAGTTATTCCCCGGAGCCTCTTACTGAGGTCTATTGTCTTAGCTGAATTTTAATATATCAAAATTGGTCTATTAGCGATAGCTTTATGAACTGCATTATTGAATGCTTCGAAAATGGTGAGATGTCTAACTCTCGAAAACAAACATCATATGCAATAATTGAAAAGAAAGGGAAAGATCGTTCACGTTCACTTTTAGAAACTGGCGTCCAATCTCCCTCGTTAATGTAGACACAAAAATAATGACCAAGGTAATTGCATGGAGGATAAAAAAAGTCTTGCCTGACATTATTCATCCTTATCAGACAGGATATGTAAAAGATCGTTTTATAGGCGAAACTATATAATCTATTTACGATATCAGGGATTAACTGTAAAAGAAAACACTCCTGGTTTAATGTTATTCTTTGATTTTCAAAAGGCTTTCGATAGCGTTGAATAGAAATGCCTTGAAGCATTAAATTTTGGTTCAGATTTCCTTCACTGGGTCACTGCTGTCTCCACTGATATCTGTTCATAGTGGTTATTGCCATTCGACAGAATTCAGACATTAAATGAATTTACATCGGAAAACAGGAAGAAACATTATTTCAACTACTCAGGGACCTGTTTCGAAATTTTTCGGGTCTTAAGATCAATTACTCAAAAACAGAGGGTATGTGGATCAAATCATTAAAACATAGTAAAGAAAAATGTTTGGTATTTAAAAGTGGCCTAAAATCTCGACTAACGCTCTGGAGGTATATTTCACATATGATCAGAAACTATTAAAGGAAAAGAATTTTATTGAAAGGCTAGATAGTATTAAAAAACTCATTAATAATTAATCTTTTCTGATCCCAAAGGTTCATCTACGTATGTTCTTACTACCCATACCAAAGGATTGAACTGTTATTCAAGTTCTTATGGAAACGTACAGAAGAAGTAACTCGCCCGCCAGCAATAGCGGAGCTCCGGCGAAGCGGAGTGCCATAACTATAGGAACAGAACCACATGCATGCATAGAAATAGAAAACCATGCAACTCTTTTTTCATGGTCAACATGGCTAGCGGCACGGGCGCGTGCGCCCTAACACGAAAAACGACGACGACGGCGGCCATACTCCAGCTACTAGGTCTACCAAGTCATGCAGTCTTGGTTTACAGCTTACATCTTTGATATTGAACATCCATGTTATGTTCAATTGACATCTGTCAAAACAAGGCATCCGCTAACCAGTATCACGTGACCATATCGCGGGCTCAGGTTTAGAGCTCGCAGACTCAAGCCAGGATAATTTATTGTAATCGGGAGCTCCGCTTTTAGGCTACAAATTAAACGATTATGAGAAAGGTGGTCTAAAATAATAGATTTGGACTGCGTGGTCAAATCCGTAAGGTTGTCCTTGCTAAAATTACTATTTAACGATATAAATGCAATATGGAAGACGTATTTACTTCACCTGTTAGAGCCCGTAGAAGGTCTGTTCTTTCTAAATTGTAATTGTGAGGTTTCTGATTATACGATATCCTCTAAATTTTACCATGAACATTTGTGGTGGTCTGGATAATTTCTGTAAGTTTCCAATACAATTTCGATGAGGTGCCTTGTGTCAAAAAGAAGAGTATCATCTTTAAAGTAAAGAGTGTAGTTGACTGAGGTTAGTATTCCGGCGGAGTGTCAACTGAAGAATCAGCATCATATTTGGAGTTGAATAATCATGAGCATTTTGCCCTTCCGCCTTGAAAACGGCCCACGGCTCGAGGCCAACAGTGTTTGTTAAGAAATTAGAAAGAGATACGAGGCGTTTTGAGAAGAGCATGCGTTGAAAATAGGTTTGCCATCGATGCTGAAGATATAGTTATTCCATAACAGTTTATTTTACGGACAGATAAAAAGATGTTTTCGTTCGATGTGTTATAGGCGCACTAGTGGTAAAGTAAATTTCAATAAATTTCTGAGAACGTGGCACATCTTTTTTCAGAATAGAAAAGAATATCATAATAATACACACGTTGTTGTTGTTGTTGTTGTTGTTGTGTTTTAATCTTTTAGAACGTTTATTTCTTATTACATTCATAAAACAAGTTCATTTGCTTGACGTCCAGGGCACTGAGATGTTTCCGCTGACCAATGGATGCGCCGTTCTTGGATTTGATGGTAGATTGCCATGGCCACTTAGCAAAGTCACGCTTGCCGTAATGCATTATGGATCCATAGTCGTATGGAACGCCAAGACTGTCGATAGGTCCGTGGCTGTATTTTCTAAAGTTGAGTTTCTGGTCTTACTTACTCAATGAAGAGACCCGATTACAGGCATGATACCTGAGAAGTTGGACTTCCCAGCATGTGAAAGCTGGTAACTAATGCAAGGCGCCATGATTTACTTCGCTCAAACAGGTCTAACCGCGGGTTGTTGATCATAACTAATGGTTTGTTCTTTCACTCTGGTTATGAAGCATTAGCTTAGTTGCTTTTTTGTGACTGGGGTAAAATGGAATTAAAGAAGTGTTTCAGATACCCGACGTTTAGTCAACTGAAGTCGAGATGATCTGCATTTCAAGCCTAGGAAACGAATACAGTTGAGCAGGTTTTCGGCTTCCTAAAAATTACCGCTTCCGGGCAAACATAGCTGATAATCAGAACGTGAGTAAACAGAAGTACTTATGTCTTTGAGAAGCCATCATAACTCAGAAGGTCTATAATTTCGACATGTTAATAATAAAGCATGCCCTTAGAAATGAAGTAAACCAGCCGGTAATTACTTCTTTTTTTTCATTTCTTACCATCTTTGATGTTATCCGAAATAATTTCTACGTAGTTATCACGATCTGGTCGACTTCGTTCATGCCAGGATCCTAGAGGCAATTCGGAAAAAAAAAGAAGACATGAAATCTTGAGTAAAATGTATGCTTCATCTGCTTTTGAAAAATCCTAAGCTAAGGTTTAGAAACCAGGAGAAGAGAGTAAAAGAGCCCAATTAACGTTGGCTGGCTCCCGTCAATTAAGCTTGTTTTGACTGGCCGTTTTGACAGCTCTGCGAATTTGTTACAAATGCGCCTTTGCTTGGTCTAAAAAACAGGAAGTGAATTGTTCCTGTTAACAAATAAAGTGCAAAACCGAACTGAATAAGTAAGTACTCATCTGTCTTGATAGCCTGATCTGCTTATCTACTTTCTATTGAAAATCCTAAGGCCTAAAGGGCTCGAGAAGTTTTGCTCCCACTCCCGTCAAGTAAGAACAAGAAAGAGCGCACCTCCCCCTCCCCCCCCCCCCCCCCCCCACCCCACACACACACACACCCACACACCTCTTGGGAGAAAGAAGCTAACTTTACAAACACATGTACACGAGGTTCAACACATTACTCAACATTAGCCATAGATTGTGGGAGAAATCCAACATCAAGTCAGTCCATGATGTAAAAGTGCATTTTATTGCAACTTTAAAAGCTTTTCTAAGATTGCAAGTTACATAATGTACTACTATGCACGTATTAAATGAGTCTAACTCGATTAACTGACACGTTGTTTTGTTCTCTTTAGCATATCACCACTCCGTGCAATTATTTTAAGAACTATGCACCCTTTACTGGTCTAAGCACGCTTCTTTTTTAAAGTATTGGCTGTGATAACTAGCTCATATATATTTATAGTAAACAGACAGCAAACTGACCAGCTGTGAGGATGACTTTGCCTGAGTGGTTTGACCGTCCACAGGAAAGTTCAGTTCAAACAGTTTCGCCAGCCTGCGAAAACCATTTTCCCTCCTGCTGAAAATGTTAATGGAACCCCTGGTACATGAGGAAAAAAGTTGCGGCCCGCTAAAATGTTGATACTACCGTATAACAAAATTTATAAAATTAAAACTTTTCTTTTTCAATCGGGCAATAAAATAAGTTTAAGTAAAATCATAATAACCTCTGTTTTTTTTTTGTTTTGTTTTTTTTTAAATATGCTAATATTTCATTTGTTAATTACATTCCGCTTTCTATATCAATACATTCGTTTCTGCCAAGTTAATGTTAATGTTACCCCAGCATTAACTTTGCTGGTACCCATTTATACACCTGGGTGGAGAGTGGCAAGAACACAACACAATGCACGCAGCCAGTGCTCGAACCCTGATCGCTTGATCCGGAGACAAGCCAACTAACCATGAGGCCACCGCCCCTCCAGTATCAAAAGTAAAAGAGACCTGAAAATCAGATAAAACAGTTAGATATTTAATTCAAAATAAATCTATCATAACTGTCCAGTCATACATGTATGCAGCTACCACAGAATCACCTGACTTACTTTGAAAATTCAAGGTACCTTTTTTTTTTTTTTTAATTATCTTAACTCAAATAAACCTCATAAACCCCTGTGCTGACAGCTAATTTATAATACTTTTTCACTTCATGCAATTATTGACAGAGGTTATATTTCAATAAATTTCTCTTCAGTAAATGGAGTTACACTCGATTGACAGTTTTTCAGTAAAGACCAGGCTTTTAGCCAGACTTTGAAAAGTCGCCGTCCAAACTGTGCTTTAGGGCCTGCTCAAATAAGCAATTTATCAGGCAACATACAGTGTATGAAAAATAAAACAATTTTCTTTAGAAAGTGGCTGTCCACAGGACGCCTGGACATCCACCTGGCTAAAGCATGGAGAAGACTGATTTTTACCAATGTCATTTCATCTAAAGTGTGTTCAACTAAAAAAAAAAAAGCCCGTATAGTCCTCCTCTAAACCTAAAGAAAGTCATCACGTGTTAGCATGAGCTTAAACATTTTAGATCTACTCAGTAGTTACCCCAGCACATTCACCATCCAAACTATGCCATCAAATTAATCTCTTAGCCAAAATTCTACTGGGTTTACTAACCTTTGTCTGTTAGATTTGAAGACTGCAATGTCAAACCCAATAGAAGTTCACCATCCCCAAAGATGAACTTCTATGATCTAGCTCGTAGCATGTTCAAGTACATTTTAATTTGCAAGTGCCTGTATAACTGCAGTAAAATTAATTATTAACACTAAGAAATGCTATTGTACATGTAGCATAATTTGAACATAAAGATATGACTGACAGGAGATATGTTTCACAAAACAACAAACCTGAAGTTTGTGTGCTCATCAACTCAAATACAGCATGCACCCTTAACATTACTGACATACACAGGTATCAGCCGACACACTTCTCTCTGTGTACACTTCAAGGACCCTAGTCAGCCTCTGCCATTATTGATGCTATCAAAATTATTGACATTGCATGGTGAAACGAAATCTTATTGCTTTACTGTAAGTTGTGTTCCTGAAAGTATGTGTAATTATCTTTGGTAATTTCACAGTGATTTCCTCTGCATCAACATGCTCCAAATAAAATTGAATAGCCAAACCCTTGCATGTAAACAAAACCAACGTTATGGCTGACTAGGGCCCTTTTAAGGTTATGCTACACTTCCTTTCCACGTAGGAATGCTTTGAATATAACTGTACATAGATTAGGAATAAATTCAAAAAATAAAGATATAGTTGCAACCATGTGCTTCTCCTCTGTAAATCTGTGTCACAATAAATGAGTGAGCTTAGTCCAATAATTTATTTAAACCACCGAAAGGCCAAAGTACTCTGCAACAAATACTTGGAATATCTTCAACAAATCCTTGACAACGCGGTGATTTATAGACACTTTGTCGTCGCATATTTTGTGCCAACATGGTGGGAATGGAAGTGAAATCAGATGCAGGATTTTAACACCTGAAATCAAAGGAAATAAAATTAATCAATAATGGCATAAAACCTCAACCCTGCTTTACAAGGATAAATTAAACTAATATAGCTAGATAATAGCTAAAATAATATTTTGCCCATTTTCCATAGTACTGTAACTGCATCTGCAACTTATCCCAGTTTTGTGACATGAAGCGATTAGATGAAATTCTACTCTGTAATGGACTTACATCACATCCCAGGGAGATCATTTTCACGAACTGTAACAAATAACTCACCCCTGTGTAGGAAAGGGATGTGATCATCTTCTACCATATATCCTCGATCCAAAAGACCAGGGTGAAAATAAGGTCGTGTGTGCCCAGACAAAAGCTGTTCAGAGCTCATCAGTCGACTCTCTGATAGAAAAAAAAATTGCACATAACATTACTGTCGACAGAACTTTTCATCTCTTAATTACAAGATAATAAACAGCTGTAGTTAACAACAGGATAGAAATATATTAATGTGTGGCGGCATGGGAGAAATACAAGTATGG